CGGTGCTGATGCCGGTGCTGATGCCGGTGCTGATGCCGGTGCTGATGGTGCCCGCCCGTCCCGGCAGCACACGTGGGGGCGGCAGCGCGCAGAGGCAGACCGGCCGTGCGGGGCCCTGCTCCGCTCCCGGTGCTGCAGCGGCACGGCTCCCAGCGCCGCGCGGTGCCGATACCGGGAGGACGGGGCCGCCGGGCCGTCAGCCCGCCCGCTCGATGCGGTGGAGGGCGCAGCGCCGGGAGCGCTCGGCAGGTGCGCGGCAGCGGCGGGGGCGGTGTGGCCCCGGCGGTGCCGGCGGGCTGGGGGCAGCCCTCGGTTGGATGTGCACAGCTGGGTTAGATGTGTGCCGCCGGGACGCGGTCACACCGGGAACGCCTCGGGCCAGATGTGCATCCCGACACCTCCCTTCTCTGCGGTGTGAGGGGGCATCCAGATGTGCACACGCATCCAGATGTGTGGGTGCATCCAGATGTGCCCTCGCTCAGCCCCCCCAGCACACCCTCACCCAGCTGTGCTCTGCCGGCCCCCAGCCCTGCGCTCACCCAGATGTGCCTCCTCCAGATGTGCCTCCGCCAGCCCCCAAGGATGCACCCTGTGTCCCCATGTGCCCCTTCCCCATCTCTGCCTGTGTGCCCCATGAATAACAGCTGGGGTCCTGCTAACCCTCCTCCAGCTCTAACCACCTTTACCTCCTCTCCCTCCTCCTCCCCCTCTGCAGTTTGATGCTGAGTTCCGTCGCTTTGCTATGAAGCGCTCCAGCGCTGGCACCTTCCAGGACTTTTACAGCCTACTGCAGAGCGTGCATCAGATCCCCCGCGTGGATGTGCTGCTGGGCTACACTGACGTCCACGGCGACCTGCTGCCCATCAACAACGATGACAACTACCACAAGGCCCTGTCCTCCGCCAACCCCCTTCTCAGGGTCATCATCCAGAAAAAAGGTCAGTGGTGGCTGGAGAAGGGCTGGGATCCATTCCTTGGGATGCACGGGGCGAGCGGCAGTCCTCATGCTGGCCTTGTTCCTCTCGTTGTGCTGGGGGATGGTTTGGGAGGAGGTGACACCACGGCCACCCAGCCATGCATTTCACCTCTTGGAAGTCGTCTTTGCAGCCGGGCTGGTGTGAGCTCCATGCAGAGCAGCTTCCTTGTGCTGGACTGTGAAATAGTTGTGATAGAGGCATCCCAAGTGCAGCTGCATGGGATGGACCCTGAGCACTGCGGTGGTTCCAGCTCATGTTGTCGGCCCAAAGTCCCCAGATGAGGGGTGATGTTGTGCTGCTGAGTCAGGTACCTGTGCTCCTTCAGGGGTTTCCTCCAGGGCCACTCAAGCAGCTCCAAACCATCCCCTCCTGCGCCAGGGCTGCAACATAGGGCAAGAACTTGGCAGAGGGTCTGCAAGGGGCACATGGAGAGGCCAGGAGTGAGCCCTGGGTGAGTCACGGCTGATTTAGAATGGATCCAGGTCATTCCAGGGCTGGGCTGTAGTCAAACCAGTCCCCAGGTTGGTGAGGAACACAGGCAGCTGCAGAGCTTCCTTCACACACTAGGTGCAGGGGGAGCATGCACGCAGTGTGTCCGGATGTGTGGGTTTTGGAGTCCTATGCCATGGGGTTGAGAAGCAAAAGCCACAACACATTGCTCCCCATGCCACCACTCACATGCAGAGGCAGTGGAGTCCCATTGGTGCCCAGCTGGGGACAGGCACTCAGCCCCAGGGGTGGGCTCAGGCTCACTGGAAGGGCGGGAGGATGCCCGGTGCATCCCCCAGGCACCAAGCGGCACAACTTGGCTGCCTCTCGCCCCCCAGAGAGCAGCCATGTGCTGAAATAGCTGTGGGAAAGCCTCCACCGCCCTTCCCCAAGCTAAAAATAAGGCAGGCGGTGAGTGCAGGGAGATATTTATAACCCAGGAGCCCTGGCAGGCCAGCTCGTCCTGGGAGAAACCCCATGTGCCCGTGGTGCCAAGGACTCCCCCGTGTCCAGACCAGGATCTGGTGCTGGTGGGGAGCTCTTGCACATGGCAGCCCCCTCCCATGGGTGCTGCACTGCATAGAATGCTGCATTCCCCTTGCTGTGGCACTGGGGCCAGGCTTTCTCAGCGTCCTCCTGAGGTCACGCTGGGACTGGGTGATTTCTGTATTGGTGGCTGAACACCCGCTGGTTCTGCAGGCTGGGCACTGAGGATGCTAATAAGCCCTGTGCAGCATTGGAAGGATGCAGTGGCAAAAAGCATCCAGATCTGAGCTCCCCCATGGAGAGGGGTGGAGAGAAACCAGAGAGAGCCCTGGGGATGCTCCCTGGCCCCTAGGGGATGCGTTCAAGGGAAGGACGTGGGGGAGATGGCACCCACTGAACAGCCCCAGAGCGGTTGGCTGGGGGGAATGGAGCCAGACCCTGCTGGGGGGTCTGCAGTGCCTGGAGATGGAATAAGAAGTGCTGACAGGATGCACAGGTTGGGAGGTCCGGGGCTGTGGGGACACTGGATGGGACACTGCGAGATGGGCGTCCTGCTTGTGAGCTTGTGGCAGGGCTCTGGTTCTTCTGCTCCAACAGGGATAAGGTGGGGAGCTGGTGTGTGTGTGCCCCAAACCAAGGCACAGCAGTGGCCCCCAGGCTGGCAGAGCCGGCAGCTCAAGCGTTAAGCCGCAGAGCTTGGCTTAAAGTGTGATTAAGGCTGAATCACCGCCTGGATCCCACTAATCCCAGCCGTGTGTACACTGGGTAATCCCAGGAGATGGGCCCAGAGGAGACAGGAAGAGCCGGGCCGATGTTTGGTGGGGAAGGCTGGTGAGATCGCAGCCGCTGTGCGGTGCTGAGCGCCGTCTGACCGCCATCTGACCGCATCCCCCTTTGCTCCCCACAGCAGAATCAGACACCGCCATCTTCGCCTCCAACTCATTGCAGAGGAAGAAGAAGGGACTGCTGCGCCCAGCGCACTGCCGGGCCAAACCTCACCTCCTCATCGGCATGCCCCAGGACTTCCGCCAGATCTCCTCCATCATCGACGTGGACATCCTGCCCGAGACGCACCGCCGCGTGCGGCTCCACAAGCACGGCTCCGACAAGCCGCTGGGCTTCTACATCCGCGACGGCGTCAGCGTGCGCGTGGCCCCGCAGGGCGTCGAGAAAGTGCCCGGCATCTTCATCTCCCGCCTGGTGAAGGGCGGCCTGGCGGAGAGCACGGGGCTGCTGGCGGTGAGCGACGAGATCCTGGAGGTCAACGGCATCGACGTGGCCGGCAAGTCTCTGGACCAGGTGACGGACATGATGGTGGCCAACAGCCACAACCTCATCATCACCGTCAAGCCGGCCAACCAGCGCAACAATGTCATCCGGAGCAGCAAAGCCTCGGGCAGCTCGGGGGTGTCCACAGACAGCACCCCGAGCCAGCAGACCCCCAGCCCGGCCTCGCAGTACCTCAGCAACTACAGCACAGCCGAGAGCGACGAGGAGGGCGACCTGGTCATCGAGAGCGACGGCCCGCCTCATTACGGCCCCGTGGGCTGCCCCAATGGGGGCCCTGCTGACGGACCCCTCCCGCCCAGCCTGTCCCCACACAGCTCGCAGGGCTCCCTGCAGTCCCTGGGCAGCCACGATGGCAGCCCCGGCCGGGGCAGCGTGCGGGAGGACGGCACCCTGCTCACCCTATAGCCGGACTGCTTGTGGGCACCAGAGCCATGGGGCTGCCCCTGCCCTGTCCTTGCCCTGGGGTCTGCTCCTGCCGGGCACTGCCCATCTGAGCCCCTCACCTCCCTTCTTCCACCCACGTGGGTTTTTTAATTATTTTATCAAAGTGTGCATCATCAAGTAATATATTGCAATGGACAGTAAAACCTTTTCTAGAAAACACCCCATTTGTCCATCGTTCGCGTCGCTGCAGGGGCCAGCGGTCTCCATTCAGGACAGCAAATGGGTTTGGTGCTGTGCGATGGGGCAGCTGTGTCCCTAACAGTTCTGCACACACGTGGCTTTGTTGCTTTTCAAGTGGGCCCAGCAAGGCTAATTGCAGAGTTATCCAACAATACGTACTCAGGCTGCTTTGGGCACAGCGAGCCCCTGTGCCCAGGGCAAACGTGGGGTCCTGGCGTAGGTGCTGCTGTGTGGTGACATCTGTCTTACAGGAGAAGGAGGACCCACAGCTCTCCAGGACTGCAAGGGCTGAGCCGGGTGCAGCTCCTTGTAGCCACTGAGCCGGGCCCCAGACAGGCAGGCAGGAGAGAGATGCAGACAGCAGAGCTGGTTAGTCCAGGCTTGCTTATGGCAGGGAGTGCAACTGCAGCAGGGCTGGGGCTGCTCGCAGCGCAGTGGCAATGCCCTGAGGACAGCCCCAAGGAGGTGTGGGGCCATTTTCTGGTTGGTACCTCGCCTCCTCCAGCCCCTAGCAATGGGAGCTTCCTTGGGGCTTGGCAGCAGTGCTATCCCCCAGCAGCCTGGGGCACAGGATGAGGCTGCAATGTCTCACCACCCTGATAAGCCCCAGATCCTGTCTTGGGATGAGGGAAAGCCCGCAGCAGTGCAGCATTTGTCCCATGGTGGAGATTTTCCCAAGCAAGCTGGACAAGGCCCTGAGCTGTGGATCTGGCCCTGCTCTGGGCAGCAGATGGACCAGAACCCTCCAGTGATGTCCTTTGGGCTGAATCTTCCTTTGCTCCACAAAGGAAAGAGCTTTTCAGAGCTGCTGAAACTCCTATGGGGTATTCGATGGTATGCAGGCAGAGCTCACCTGCACAATGGCACCTGCCCTGTCCTCTGGCCACTTCAGGCCACCCCCTGTGAGGGTCTCTCACCTCTCCTCCTGGCAGCATCACATCAGCACTGCTGCTTTCTGCTGCCCACCACCACTCCTGAGGCCCTGCTGAGTCCACCAAGACACACCAACGGAGGAAAACTACAACTTTATTGAAGTGCATCCCACCCCACAGACAACAACAGCTCCAGACACCTCACCAGCTTCCCCTGCTTCCACCCCAGCCCTTCTCTTAGCAGGAAGCACTGGAGCTCTGTGCCTTTTTGCTGTCCTTGAGCTACCGAGCGCATGCAGCAGGACAGAGGGGACAAAGGCACCGGCTGCGTGCTTGGGATGGGTCAGCACAGAGCCCAGAGCAAAGGCCCTGTGTGCAGCGAAGCCTGCAGTGCCCTGGGAGAAAGAGAAGGACAACCAACAGCAGAGCAGCAGCACGGGGGACCTCCTGCCAGTTTCTAGAAATGGAAAAATAAGAAACCACAAGATCTGTGCCATCAATTCCAAGCAGACAGCTGATCTCTGTGAGAAGTCAACCAGCACGGGGACAACTGTTCTCCACACTGCACAGCAGAGTCAATTAGCTCCTCTCCCTCCCATTTCCCTGGATGTGCCCTGGGAGCAAGAGCAAGAGGTGCCAACTGCGTGTTGGACACAGTACTGACAGCACTACGGGTGCAGGGTCCTCGATTGTCTTCCTCTCCTTCCCTTCCCTGGGATGCTCACGCAGAGCAGCACACTGCTTGCAGCCCCATGGGCTCAGGAGTCCAGCTTGATGAAGACTTTGGGCCTGGAGAAAATTTTGAGTGCCTCTTCAATCTGGGAGAGCTTCCTCTCGAGCTCTACTCGCCTCTTCTGAATGCTGAGGGTGTCTGCACGCATCGGCAGCATCACCAGGTCCTTTATCAGCTGCTCCTGGCCTGGAAAAGACAAAAGGCTGTGTGAGTGGAAGATAAATTCCCTTTTTTTTTTTCCCCTCACACTACAACCTCACTGTTCAGCTGTTAAAATGGTAGCAGCGTGGGAGCAGGGACCTGGAGAGAATACCCATCCTTGGATTGAAACCGCAGCTGGAGGAGGACCAAAGCTCCAGCTCTAAGGTGCTCCTACTTTGAGCAAGGGTTGGACTAGAGACCCCCAAAGATCTCTTCCCACTAAAAATATTCATTTTAAGTACAATAGTAACCCTAACGTCAGGTCCCCTGGGCCAAGCCTGTTCCAGGAAGCCAGCCCTGTAACCTCCAGGTCCCACCATGCCATAGGATTGCTCTTTCTGCACACGCAGCTCTAGTGCAGGGATTACTGGAACACCCCAGCATCTCTCCATGAGGCAGGAAATCAGGAAGCAAGCCCGTGCTCCTGAACTGGCTATTTTTGAGCTGGAATGCTCCTTTCTTTTCCTCTTACTCTGCTTCAGGCTGCCGAGCATCTCCAGCCTCTGGCCCTCAGGCATCATGGTGTGGCCAGGCGGCGTGTCAGGATCCGGCCGGCTTCGCAGCTGCTCCTCCATCTGCCTGCGCCACTGCTCCTTCCTCTCCAGCAGGCTGCAAGGCAGACAAAAGCTGGTGTCACACACCTGGCAGGAAGGCTGCCCAGGAATGGAGCCCTGCTGGTCTCCATGTCACTGCCTGAAGACCACAGAGCCCCAGGCTGGCAGCACCCCCACCCCCCTGCTCCATACGCCCTTGCTGCGTTGAGAAGCACTTGGATTTAGCCCACGTGCACGGAGTGGCCACCACACTTTGTGCGTGCTCAAAGGCACCGAGCACATAGCATCACTGTACTGCAGCAAGCAAGGGAGGAGGAGACAAAACTCTTTACCAGCCCAGTTGCGACAGCCATGGGATTCTTGTTAAGCCAAGAAACCGGCAAGCTTTGCAGTTATTCTCCAGGCCACAGTCAATTGCTCTGCTGGCACACGGCGCCCTGGCCCCTGTGGCACACGTACTACTGGGGGATGTGGCCCTTCTGCTTGGCGTTGTACTCCTCCTGCTCCCGCTGCTTCTGTCCCAGCAGCTCAGCCAGGGCCTGCAGGGACTGGGAGCGCCGCAGCGGGGCCCGCTTGGCATTGCGAGCATTGTGCTTGATGAAGTCAATGCTGTTGCCCTCCACCTGCAACTGAAAGTAGAGAACGGGAGGCAGTGAGTGCTGGGGTGGCACACACAGGCAGCTGCTCTTGTCCTCCTAAGGGACAGAGTGAGCGGCTACATGTGTGAGATGCTGAGCAGGTGCACAAAGAAAGGGCAGACCATCAGGAGCCATAGGCAGACAGCACCTACAGCAACAGCTTGAGACAGCAGGCACCAACGGCCACGAAAACCTACGGCCTGCCTTGTCAAGCTGAGCCCACAAAGCATGCAAAGCAAGAGCAATGGGGGGCAGGGTGACAGAAACCCCTGGGAGCATGCAGGCAGTGTGCCACTCACCTTGGTTTCAGCAGCCGGCGTCTGCAGAGCCTCAGTGCCTGTTCCTGCCTTCATGCTGGCAGGTCTTGGGGACAGAGGTCTGCCTGGCCTGATCCCAGGGCCGCAGCGAGAGTACGCCCGCAGGAAATTCACAGCCTCTGGGTTTGGAGGTGGAGAGCTCTCCTGGGAAAGGTGGAAACATAAAACAGAAAAACGGCTCAGTGGGGGGAGTGATGGGGCAAAGAGAAACTCACCAACATCGTCTGGGGGTCAACCACGAGCTCAACCGCAGGTTTACAGCAGACAACAACGTGCTCCTCTGCTGTGATGTGGCTGAAGTTCTGCACACAAACCACAGGCAGCAAAGACCAAACCAGAGTGCTGACGGCAACAAACCCACAGCTGGCAACTGAATTTGGTGAAGAAGCACTAAGAGGAAGAAAAAAAGATCTGCAGGAACATCCATACAGACCACAAGTGTGCGAAGCACTGACGAGGGAGTCCCTTCTTACTGAATAACACTGCAGGCACAGAAGCAGAGCGCCATCAGATAACCCTGCAGAGACACCCACCAGGGGTGGGAAGCATCTTCAGCAGTCAGCTGCAGAGCAAGGTGATGCTGGCTGCTGCTGGCAAGGAAGCAGCTGCAATTTACACCATAGAAGACAAAGGAGAAAAACTCCATGCCAGACTTTCAAGACTAACAGAACCAACTCCACCCGTGAGCAGGAGCTCCACAGAAGATGGAGATGCTTTGAAGGGAACACATCATCTCTAGGAGAGCCTCAGCAATGGTTAAAGCAACGTGAGTCAGCTCCGGGGCCTCTGAATCCAAAGAGCACAGAAACACACCACGCAGAAACCGTGCAGAGAGAACACCCCCTTTCCACAAAACAAAAGATGATCTCAATCATCCTCTGATCCTGATGATTTGTCAAACAAGAGTGTAGGCTTGTATTCATTCCTAAGGCACAGGTGGGCTTGCTTCTGCGCGTGGAAGGTCACAGATACCAGCAAGCAAGTTGGTGGTGCTTTCTGGTGCATCAGAAAGGAGGGACAAGGCCTCTGGAACTGCTCAGAAATCACCCTGCCAACCTTTGTAGCACCACCTCGTTGGCTCAGGGGCCATAGAATGGAGGGAAGTGATGCAGAGATGAGGAGGAATCTGAAGCTTCAGCTCAGCTATGAAGCAGCAAGGAGGGTGTTGCTTAAATGGTGATGCTCAAGACGTCACCCAGCTTCTTCAGTGCATTCCTCACTGTAACCACTTAGCTGCATTTTGGAAAGCCCCCAACAGAGACATTACTTAAAACACCAGGAAAGAAAAAAATATCCAGAAGAAGGAAAAGAAAGAAGCTGCTGGAAACCAGACACCACTCGGAACAGAAACCATCCGTGTTTCAGCTCAGTACACAGTTGGTAAAACCCACTGTGTGTCACAGGGTCCTGAGAGCTGGCACAAAGCCTGCAGCAGCCTGAAGGCCGATCTCTCCTTCTCTGCCTCAGTGCCATGCAGAAAGGGTGAGGACAGTGATCTGTGGGGCAGAATACCACCGCCTTTTGGCATGAACCCCAGACATAGAAAGCTGAGAAGCCAGCTGGATGCACCTCAGGACAGGGATTTTCTGAGGGCTGCTCTGCACCATGCCAAGAATTGCCCTCAGATTCCTACGACAGAAGTGTCAGGCAGGAGGCAGCAGGCAGAAGGTGTGAGATTTTCTTCTTCTGAGCTGCCAGGAGAGTCGAAGAGCCCCCTGGGTACCCACCTGCAGTCTGGCCTTCACCTTTGACTCCACGTTTTCGTATTTCTGGGATTTCCACAGAGCTTTCACAGGTTTGGGCTGGCTGCGCTCCTGGGCCCGCTCCCTCTCTTTGCATTTCTTCTGAATCTCCTTTATTCGCCTCACGTTTTCCTTCTCATGGTCCTTGGACTCTTTCCCTGCACAGCAAGGGGAGACACAGCTTTCAGCCCTCAAACACTGCCAGCAAACGTAGGCTCCTGGATCACAACACCAGAGCTGACAGCTCCATCTCCAAAGTGGAAACAGCAAGTCCTCCCCCCTCCCGCAGACCACACAATCTGTGCATTTCCCCCCACATTGGGTGGGCTGACCCTGTTCTGGAAGACCTCAGCTGGTTCCCCTCCCGTTTTGGCACAGCGTTTGTGGCAACCGCCATGCAGGCACCAGCTTGGGGCAATGCTGGGATATAAAGCCAATAGGCGACAGGCAGCACTCAGCTTCACCTCCCTTCTGGACCTCAGCACAGCTGTGCTTACTCTTTGCTGGCAGACCCCCACCGAGAGAGAGCCCATCGAGCTGCAGCAGGAGGCCGAGCGTCCCCTTCTGCCCCTTCTCCAAAAAGTCCCTTCCGCTGGGGCGGATGCGAGGCGCTGGCTGGGGCTGGTGGGCACCTCTCAAAGCACGGGGTGAGCTGGGAGCTGAGTCCGTGGGGCGAGAGGTAAAATCCAACTGCTGAGCATTGCCTTCCAGCCTCCCTCGAGCTACAGAGAAAGAAAGAAAAAGCAGCTTAGCGCGATCTCACCTCGCTGTTTCCCTCAAGCACAGTCTGCAAATCATGCTGAAGGTCCCCCTCCACATCTACCTCACGTTTTGCCTTCTTTTAACCTTCTGGATCACCATCAGCACCCTGAGGACTCACCTGAGAAAGGGCGTCTGTAATAGTTTGGGAAGAGCGTAGGGTCTGGAGGAATGGGTCCAGAAATCTTGGATGGCCCTTCACACATTCTGCTGTCTCTGTCTCTGCAATGGAAACCAACCACCAGTGAGAACTGAACTAAACACAGCTCGCTGAGCCACTGCAGAGCTGCAGCTAATGTGTATGTGAATGGCTGACCTTCCTATTGCAGAGCTCACACCCAGCTGCAGGGACAACCTGCAAGTAGGAAACAACCCCAATGGACCCCATGGCTGCCCAAGAGCTGTGGGCGCCCATCCCTGGAGGTGCCCCAGGCCATGGATGGGCACTGGGCAGCCTGAGCTGGGGGGCAGCCAGCCTACAGCAGGGCTTGGGGGCGGTGAGGTCCTTTCCAACCCAACCATGCTGTGCTTTCACATAGGTGAGGCAAAGGAGCCAGCAGCACCGTCCCTACTGCAGGACTAACCAGCATTGATCCTGAAGTGTCTGCATTTTGTGATACCTGCACCTTCAGCACAGAAAATCCGACTCCTGGGTCTGCAATTCCAACACTTCAGAGACAGCCCTACGGGAAGAGCCCCTTTTAGGACCCTCAGAATGCCAGCACTGACGGGACACAGCATCTTCCATTTAATTTATAAACCAATAAACAATCAGCACAAGGCTGAGTGAGCCTGACTCATAGCAACTAATGCACTGCTGTCTTCTCTGTTAAATTACCCTTGTTGACATGAGACCCATTAGCAAAAAGCTATTATTCATCTCCCAGACACAACGGCAGAGGCAATGTAAGCAGTGCTGAGCACTGCACACCGGCAGGCATGTCCAGAGGCTTGTTTGTACCCAGCCACCCTGCAAAAGCTATTTCTGAAAAGCTTCAGACTCAGATTCTCAGGCTGCAGTAAAAGAGCACTGCTCTCTTATTATTTAATCTCCTTTAAAATGGATAGAGCTAAGCCAGCATGGGCCCTCTTATCCTAAAAAAAAATAAAAAAGCATCACCAAGAGATTACTCCAGGATAGTTACTGGCCTTGAAACTCACATCTGATCTCGATCTGAACTCTCCTCCAAAGCCAGTAATTTGGGTGCAAAATGACAGAGTGAAAGGAGGACCTGTAACAGAGCAGGCAATTAGCGTGGGGGACTGAAGGAGGAAAGGCAAGCTGATGGGAGCTGGGGGATGGAAGACTCCTTCTGTACCTGAACACAGGGCCCATCTCACGTCCCAGCAGCACCCTGCCCTGCTGCAGGGAATTTGCAGATGACACCCACACCCTGATTTGCAAGTCACATTGCCTCTGGGTTTGGATCTCGCAAGATTACACAGCCTTGTTACAACAGCACTCGGCCTATCTGGGTGCTCACAGCAAAACATGCAGGATGCAGTCCCAGCACCTGCATCATCATCATCATCATCGTCATCTGGCCTCAGGATGAAGCAGCCAAACCCTCAGCTCCCACGAGCAGGTTTTCCAGGCAGCTGCTCTGCTCCTGCACAGTGGGACAGCAGGGCTGGAGGATGGGGCTCTTTGAGAACCTGGGGGCTCCAGGGATGAGCAGACTGCATCCCACCCAGACAGAACTCCTGCAGAGACCAGAAAGGCACTGGGCAAGCACAAGGGGAGCAACAGGAGAATGTGCCTACAGGAGGAGCAGGGCCAGCCCTTCCAGCTGGCACTTAATATGCACCTAGGAAAGCATCTCCAGCACTGCGTTAGAAACCTAAGCATCAAAAGCATCTGTTGCCAGCAGCAAGAGGCCACGGCCTCGCAGCTCAAGCAAACAGATGTACGTGTGCAGCTCCTGCTCAGCGCAGGGCCGGGCTGCAGAGGGGGGCAGGGAAGCAGAGATGCTCGGAGCTGCAGGACACACCTCCCGTCCGTACCTCTTCCAGCAGAGCTCGGTGCCGCCCACCGGAGCTGCGCGCCCGGCCGGGGAGCTGCAGCCTCATGCGGAGCTGGAGCTTTGTTGTTCGGCTTTGTGCTGCTACGAGCCCGATTCTGTAAAAAGCATAGGAAAAAAAAAATACATCTCTGGATAAGCTGCGATAAGCAGAGCGAGTCACCCGGGGCCGAGCAAAGGGCTCGTGGCAATCGGGCCGTTCGCTCGCTCGCTCCCTCCCGTCGCGGGCGGAAACATCGGGTCAGAAGCACGGCGGGGGGATGGGGTGCGACAGGACGGGCTGGGATGGGGAAGAACGGGGACGGCCTGCCGGGTTCCGGCCCCACCGCACGCACCCGCGGAGCCGCCGCGCTCCGGGCAACCGCCGCTTCCGCCGGGGGAGAGGAGGGCCGGGCCGAGCCCCGCCCGGGGAGAGGTGTGGGCAGATGATGGGCGGCCGGGCTCGGCGCGGCCCCGCTCTGCTCTCCCTCTCGCTGTGGGACGGCCGCACTTAAGGCCGCGCTGTTGATGCGTTCCCCCGGTAACGGCCCTCCCGCAGCCTCCTCCCAACCGCTGCCGAAGCCCGGTGCTTCTCCATGTCCGTCCCCGCGCAGGACGCAAAGTAAGCCGGCGAGTCTCCTTCGGGAGCCGGCTCGGTGCCGCAGGGATCGCTGTGCGTCGGTTCAGCCGCACGGCCCTGCCCCAACCCGTTCCTGTCCCGCAGGACCCACCTGCGCGCGTTGCCGCAGCCCGATTTGCAGCATCCCGCCGCCGAGGGCGATGCCGGCCCCGCTGCCGAGCTGCAGGGAAAGAGCAAGAAGAGGAAAAGCACAAGCGACACGCAGCCGCGCAAAAAGGTCCCGCCTCGGGATGCGCTGGGTGAGCATCCATAGGGGAACGGCCCTCGTGCTGCTCCCAGAGATGGCAGCGTGCCCGCGGCTGGGCTGATGGTGGGGGCTGCGCACGGCTGGATGCTCAGCCGGGCACTGTGATGCTTGGGCAGACCTGTCCTCCCTCAGCTGCTCTCGTGTCACCGGGCTGAGGCTGCAGATCCCCAGCTAAGGGGCACCTACTGCAGATGTCCACCTTCCTGGCTCCGGTGCTGGTTGGGGTAATGCCCTTCCCTCTCCTCTCAGGACTACTGCTGGGACTGAAGCTTTGGCACACGGGGTTTGTCAATTCTGCCCTTTTCTCAGGGCAGGAGGTTGGATCTCAATGGTCTTTAAGGTCCCTTCCGAACTAAGCCACTCTGGGATTCCCCTCCAGGGCGGCTGCCGCGGCTGCGCCCCTTGTATCAGTACATCAACCTCAGCACGGAGCTGATGCGCCCAGCAGAAGAGGAGGCTCAGCACCAGCAGGTAGGGCAGCTGCTCCAGAGCTGCAGAGAGAGCTCCACCAAGGTTCAGTGAGCAGGCTGGATGGTTGGGAGCCTCTCTGAGAAGATGCGAGGCCAGGCACTGGGCACGCTGTGCCAACCAGGCCACCTCAGGGGGGCAATAGCTTGCCAGCAGGTCATGGCAACAGGGAGGGACCAGAGATGTGCAGGACTCCGTAGTTCAGCGCCCCAGAGATGGAGGCTTTGCCCTTCTGTCACTCTGGGTTTTCCCAGAGGCCCAGCCTGCCCACTGCAGGTCTGTGAGGGAGGCACAAAGGAGGTTTCCCAGTTCAGGGAGAACAGCTTCAAAACATCCAGAACCAGGCAGGAACAAAGTCAGATTGAGTCAGAGTGAATGAAGGCAGCCACTCTTCCAGGTGAGCTCAGGAGACATTTTCTCACCTGCTTTACATAGCACATAGACAAAACAGACAGGAGATGCTCAGAGCTAGAGCAGGAACAGCAATCCTCTACCGGGAAAGCATTGGAGGAAGATGCAGAACTTCCACTGGTGCACCTGCTGGGAACAGTGTGTAATTTACACCCATCTGCTTTCTTCCTTCAGCCCACAGCTGATGAGTGCTCAGAGCCAAGGACCAGCTGAGTTCCCACCCTTTAGAAAAGCACGTCAGTACATTTCTTTCTGTCAGTTTGAAACTATTTTGAAAGGAAATAAATACCTGAAGGTAAATGCCTCATTTAGAAACTGAGCAAAGAACCCAGCAAACCCATGAAGATTCTGCTCCTCAGCTTGCACCTTCCAGCAATTTCTACAACCAGACAGGCAGAAAAAGATCTCATTCATCACAACAGTCAGTGTGGGAGGCCCACGATAGACAGGGTGTCTCTAGAGCCAGTGACTCCAGAACAGCTTTAGAATGAGAGAAAAAGCAAAGAGGTGGGCACAGCTCCGTGCTGTCCAAGCAAAGGGAGCTGCCATCCTTTTCTCACCAATGGGGAAAGCGAGTCCTGTCAGAAGATCCATCTCCTACTTTGTCACACCAAGTGATCAGCCCCAGCTGGAAGCTCTGTCATGGAGGCTTCAGCTCAGCCAAATCACACGCAAGCACCCAGCTACATGAAGAACACCCTGAACAAACAATCTATTTTTTCGTTTATTTCTGTAGAAAACAAGTCAGACACTTGTCAGGAAGGACCAGCTTATGAAACAGTGGTTTGCGTGTTAACGTACATAAATACACAGGGTTACCATCTGAGTGGGAAATACATTAAAAAAAGCTTTCAAGTACACAAAGTACATGTCATACAATTGTACTGTCCCTATCACATACCTGCCTCAGAGAGAAACTCTTCTCCAAATGAACAGACTGCCACCCACCAGCTGCCAACAGCCACGAGCTGCAGGAGGGCAGGCAGCACCAGAGGGCTGATATCCAGCGTCTGAGGTTCAGGGCAGACTCCTCAGCTATCAGCATGTGTAGTGTGACAGCTTCCCAGCCAGCACATAGGAGAGCTGCAAGAGGTAGGCAAGACCTCCTGACCTCCACCATCAGATACGTGGAAGGTTAAGGTTTTACAGCTTCATTGGCAACGACATCCTGAGCCTCATCTGCGAGCCTGGGAGGAGTTCAGGAAGCCACAGAAGTGAGGAGGTGGCCCTGCAGTCACAGCTCTGCTGCTGCCAGGCTGTAAACACAACCGGTGGACGTGGAGCTCATGCAGAAAGGCTGCTGGATGCAGTCAGTGTCACGAGTCGAAGGAATAATGTCTGCAGATATGGGAGGAAAGCACAAAGCATCACAGCCTTCCCCAGCACCATCAGCTGGGATCTCACAGCATCCTTTAAACAACACACTGGTTTCAATTAATTTGAAAGACATTTGCGGTATGCAGAAAGCCAACGGCCAATTCTTATTCTACAAACTTTACTGTATTCCTTCTGGTCTTTGTCCTATGGCAGTTCAGAGATGTGTTACATCCCTAAACTCTTTAATAAAGTGTTACTGAGGAGTAAAACTAAATCCGATTGCAGGAGAGAAAGCAAAGGTGTCTGAGCAACAGATGCTCCCAGACCCTGCTCTTCTCACCCTCACTTTAGGACTGACAAAACAAGAGGGGCCGTGTCCCCTCTCCAGCCATGCAGTGGCACAGATCCCATGCTTCACTTCACTACTGCGAGTGCAAAGGGCAATTCAAGTTTTCCCAAGTCTCCAAGACAAGAATTAAACACTTGTGAAAACGGAACGTCTTAAACCGGAACTGTTTCCATCAGAACAGGACATTATTTTACACGCTTAAAAAAACAACAAGAAACTCAAATTATTAAATAGGAATCTTAAAAACCAGAGAGGATTTGTACAGCTGCAGCTGGAAGCATTCACCGTCCTATCTTCCCAAAGCAGCAACGCTCACACGTTGTTCCTTTGCAGCGCCTCACACAGGTTTTGGTTGGCGTCTGGTTCCTCCACCATGACCTCCACAGCCTCCCACTCCCCCGACCTGCTGGATTTCTTAATGGCCTCCACCACGCTCTGCATGTACAAGCCATCTTCAAAAGATGCTGCCATAGAGACGGGCTGGTGATCCCACGTCCGGCGATCTTCCTGCTCTTGGAAAGACTGCCGCAGCGCTTGCACCATGTACACCGTTCCCTTCAGGTAGAGCAGCGGGATGTCTTTCAAGCCCTTGTCCAAAAGGCCTTTGTTGACAGTCAGAGAGTCAGTGAACAGCAGTTCTTCTTGCAGCGCTGTGTTCTTCTGCCCATACAAGTCCGTGCCGCGCGCTACGAGGCGCCCGCTGGACCCCACCACCATCACCTCGTGAACGAACGATCCGGGCATGTTGAAGTTGAGAGTCACGGTGCAACAGACGCCCTCGCTCATCAGCATCTGGAAGAAGCAGAAGTCATCGCCGGTGACGTGGCGGATCCCGCTGATGGCCGTGTTCTGCTTCACAAAAGTCTTGAGCAGGCCGTGGACCTTCTGCGCCCTCCTGCCGACGAGGTGGCTCAGCAGGTCGATGATGTACGTGCCCATGGTGTGCAGGCCGCCCCCCCCCATCAGCTCGTCGCAGATCCAGCTGTACTTGTGGCTGAGCAGGCTGCCCCCGTAAACCCGCACGTCGCAGATCAGCACGTTGCCCACGTAGCGCTCTTCTATCAGCTGCTTCATCTTCACAAAGGCAGGCAAGAAACGGAGGACGTTGCCGACGATGCTCATCAGCTTGGGGTAATACCTGGCGGCTGTGACCATCCTGAAGGCGTCCACGGAGGTAGCAGCTTTCTCACAGATCACGTTCTTCCCTATTCCTGCAACACAAACACCAAAAAACGGCAAGAAATGCTGACGAGCCCCCAAGGTTGCCAGGAAGCTGCAGTTTTTAGGCTTTCAGAAGCAAAGATCTGGGAACTAAAATAGGAACGCTAATTGCGGCAAGACTCCAAGCGCTTCCAAAATGCTCAGAGCTGACAAACACCCACAGAGCTCCAAATAAAGAGAGGAGTTTTACATCACGGCAGATGAACTCCGACAGGTCTTTATGCCACTGAAGTGCTGCAGCTATAAAACCATTGGAATGGCTGTGCAGCAAGAGGAAAAAAAAATATCATCATGGAGATAAATGCACTCGAAACGAGCGGAGGCTTCATTTTGTATTTTACCATCGCTATGAATTTATTAACAGATTGATAGAAACTGAAGGTACTTGGTGGCCTGTGCACAGAATACAAAACTGTAACAGAAGGGAGTTTAAGGTTAGATGTCAGGAAAGAAGTTTTAACTCAGGAGGTGGTGAGGCACTGGAACAGGCTGCCCAGTGAGCTGTGGGATCCCATCCCTGGAGACATTCAAGGCCAGGTAGGCCTGGGGCAGCCTGAGCTGGTGGCTGGCAACTCTGCCACAGACTGGCTGGCCTTTACAGTCCCCTCCAGCCTAAGCCATGCTGTGATTTTTCCTTAAAGTGTCTGGTATGATGCTGTGTTTTGGTTTTAGAAGAAGAAGAACACCTGGTATCATCCAACAGGCACACTGGGAAGGGGTGGGGAGACGGAGGCACACACAAGGTGCCCCATGCAGCCGTCATGGCAGCCCTCAGCATCTTCTCCACACACAGCTCAGAGCAAACTTCTCAGTGCAGACCATAGAAACCCTCCTAGGACACCAGAAGAGTCAGTCTTACTCCCCAAGACCTTTCTTATGTTTGTCCTTATCCAGAGTCAGCTTGGTCTAATGAAACCCACTCCTCAGCTTTGTCTCTCTTAGCACAAGTTGTAACACTGACTCCAACCACTAAAGCCATCTACCTTCTGTAAATACATCCATGCCATGGGATGGAAGCCCCAGCTCTTGATTCCCCTTAGTAATGCACCCAAGGCTGCACCCAATGCCCAACTAAACCACTGGCTGAAGCAGCAGAGCATTGCTGCGTCCACTGTACGACACTGGGAGCATCCAAGGAGCCTTCACAAACAAGCAGCTGTTGGTTAGCAGCCTCTCAACAAATGGAAGCTCATTCCAAAACGCATTCCTTCGTGTCACGTCTTGTTTGCATGTGGTTTGGAAAGGCTTCTGTGCTACCGATCACAGAGATGGGAAGCACAACATGCAAAGAGCACAGCACGCTTGTTTACCCTGTTTCAAGAACAGGAAACGTGTGTTTGTCCCAGGACAGAGCAATGATAAGAGCCCTTTCTGACTCCTTCCTCCACAATTAACATATCCATGCTATAATCTGCAGGGACTCCACGCAACCAGAGAGCCAAATAATCTCCTCTGGAAAGTAAGCAATGTAAATCAAGAGAGATCAGTGGAAAGTTCCTCTGCAGCCAATCCAGGAGGCACCACGAGGCTGGGCTGCAGATTGGGCTCCCTATGTGAAGCATTACCCACCCTGGAGAGATGGCTTCTGATGCTCTGCCTGCTAAGCCTTGCAGCACACATCACACACCACGTCCCCTCAGCCTGAACTCAGCCCCAGGCTCACCTCACACTGAGGTGCGTGCATTTCAGCTGCGGGCCATCCACCACAAAGCTGGCATTTTAGTTCCTCTGAGATCAAAAGAAACACAAATTTTAGAAGAGCTTCTTGCTTTGCCTGTTATGGAGATAAACCATAGGATTACACTCATCTTCATTTGAATTACGTTCTGGGCTTTGATCTGGTTCACCAACTCAGTTCAGGCTTACTCCTTTACCCCTACCACGCCAGGGCTGTACCCAGGCTTGTGTACAAATGTCTGTCAGTAATTAACTTAAGCAAACAGCACAGCCTGGAAGCCACTAAAACACCAACCTATTATCATCAATCATTCACAGCCAAGACTTTCCCGATGACAAACATCACTGTGTTGATCTGAACACTCAGAGAAAACACACTTGCCATCTGCCCATCCTCATTCTGTGTTCCCCCAGTGCACTGAATCACAGCAAGCTAAACAAAACTGGCTCAAGATGTGCGAAGTGAAGAGCAAATCACCCTTTCCTACTTCATCCACAGATTGGGTGGGTAGTGAGAGGAGAAGGGGGAATGGTTTTAAACTGAGATGGGGCAGCTTTAGGTTGGATGTTAGGAGGAAGTTTTTCATCCAGAGGGTGGTGAGGCACTGGAACAGGTTGCCCAAGGAGGCTGTGGATGCCCCATCCCTGCAGGCATTCAAGGCCAGGCTGGATGTGGCTCTGGGCAGCCTGGGCTGCTGGTTGGTGACCCTGCACACAGCAGGGGGTTGGAACCAGATGATCACTGTGGTGCTTTGCAACCCAGGCCGTTCTGTGGTGTGACACTCTATGGTCTGACTCAAAGAGCAGCTTTGAAAAGAAGCAAATCCAACAGCATCAAAACCCCCAAACTTAATGCCTCTCTGCACACTGCAGGCTTCGAGAAATCACCCAACGTAAAATTACCTTAATTACAAAAAATAAAACCAACAGATTTTTTGGTCCAAGCCTAAAGGCGAAAAGGTACCTAAAGCCTTGACAGCAATCTGCCGGGTGAGCGGCGGGGGGATGCTGATGCAAACCAGGTCCACGTCCTGGTGCAGCAGGACGTCGTCGGTGCGGCTGGTGTAGAAGGAGACGCTCATTTCCTGCGCCAGCTGCCTGGCTTCTTCTTCCGTCGTTCCCCACACAGCCTCGACGGAGAAGCCTTCGGCTCGCAGCAGGGGGACGAGGAGGCGGGCGGTGCTGCCGGCCCCGAACACACCCACGCCGGGCAGCTTCATCCTGCGGGGCTCAGGGACGGGGCTCCGCGCGGGCCTGCGAGGGAACGCCGCGCTGCTCCGCGTTCCGCTTCATCCTCGGCCCCTACGGGACGCAAAGCGAGGCGGTCAGCGCCGCGACAGCTCGCACCGAGACGCGTTCGTTCCGCGCGGCGCTCGCTGGTTTCTATTGACGCCTTTCTCCTCGGCGCCCACCGAAAGGACCTTCGGAGGCACCGCACCGCCAGCAACGACAGCGCCCCGCCGATCCCCCCCCCCCCCCCGAGCTGCCCTTACCCGCCGCGGGGGCGCGGAGGACCCCTCCCGCTCCACCTCCGCCCCGCGCATCTCCGGGCCGGGCGCGCTCCCGCGGCGGCGGCCGCTCGCTCCCGGTGCGGCCGGGCCCGCGCAGGCGCGGATGCAGAAGGCCGCGCCGCTGTATGGACCGCGCGTGCCCGAGGCCGCCCAAGGGGCGAGGGGCGGCCACAGAAAATGGCGGCGCCCTAGGCGGCTTCCGAATCTGGGGGAAGTGTGGCCAATCAAGAGGCGCATCAAGGAAGAGAGGCGGGCCTTCTGCAGACGGGCGGCGCCGACAGCCAATTGGAGGGCAGAGCGGCGGCCTGACGGGCAGCTGTAAGTGAGGGCAGAGCCTGTTGTTCTTAAGGGCCACGTGTGGCTGCCAGCTCTGCTCTCCGTGGTGGCCTGGAGGAGACGCACCGGCGCTTCGTTTTCCCTCCTTGCCCCATTTTCATAGAATCATAGAACGGCCTGGGTTGCAAAGGACCACAGTGATCATCTGGTTCAACCCCCTGCTGTGTGCAGGTCACCAACCAGCAGCCCAGGCTGCCCAGAGCCACATCCAGCCTGGCCTCGAATGCCTGCAGGGATGGGGCATCCACAGCCTCCTTGGACAACCTGTTACAGTGCCTCACCACCCTCTGGGTGAAAAACTTCCTCCTAACATCCAACCTAAACCTGCCCTGTCTCACTTTAAAACCATTCCCCCTTGTCCTATCACCATCCACCCTCCTAAACAGCCCCCTCCTGTTTATACGCTCCCCTTTGTGGCACTCCAACACAAGCTGTAGCACTTGTCCAAGGAGGCAGATCTGCTGCCCTTCCCTCACACAGCTGGGAAGCATTTCCCAGTGCTCAGAAGGAACCTCCTCCTAGCCCTGCTGCCGGGGCAGACACACACCAGCACCAATTGCCAGCCACCACCACCAATGCTGGTGTAGCCTGTGCGGATCTCAGTCACACAGCTCACAGGGAACCTCACCCCACCTGGATTTGGGATAACACCACCTCCAGCACCAATTCCCTCAGTGCTGGATACCTTTCTCCATGGTGGTCCCCTTCCCTGGGTAACATAGCAGATCTTCCAAGGATAATCAACATTCCTGAGAGCTATTGTAACTGGTTTAGAGAAGGAGGAAAAGTGAAAGAGAGGCCGAGGAAACAACAGAAAGCATCTCCCATTGCCTCCCAAGGAGATAAACAAAGCATTTGCTTACTCCACAGTTTGGCTCCCAAAGCACAAGGATGGCTGCAGTGCAGAGCACAAACGCCCGATTGCTATCCCAGCCAGCAATTTCATCGTGTTGTAAGCCAAGGCCACACAGCACAGCAAAGTGACAACCTTCATCCAGCACCCAGGGGTGAAAAAAACCACAGCAAACAAAGTAGAAATTGTGAATTAAGATACAAACTGTTGACTAAGAAAAAAGGAAGAGAGAAAATATATTTTAGAGAGAGAGAGAGAGAGAGAGAGAGAAGATGAACACACACACACACACACACATTACGTAGGTCCTGTTGAATTAACTTGATATCCTTATACAACAAGGCCACCTATCTGGTTGACCAAGTGAAGCCAGTCAGCATTCACTTTTTGGGTTTCAGTAAAGCTTTTGACACTGCTTCCTTCCAGACAAAACATCCAGCATAGAGCTAGCAAGAAATATAACGTTATAGGTGAGCAACTGGCTGACTTGCCAGGCTCAGAGAGTGAATGGGGTTCCATCAGGCTGGTGGCCGGTCACTGGTGGGCTTTGGCTGTATCCATCCTGGATCTCTCCACAGCAAATGATGCCTTTGTATCTTTGCTTGTCATTTTTCAGGTGTGTGAATCAGAGCAGAGCCAAATCCATCGCAGCAGATGCTGGACGTGGACACAGCGAGGAAATGAAGAACACTGCTCCAGGGCTCTACCAGCATATCCATCACCCAGTGCACCTGATAAGAGCTAATGCCGGGTTTTCAAGCTATGGCAGCCATATCAGCAGCTGCTTGTCTCTCCTTTCTCACTCTTCCTGCTGACAGACCTTCCCTTTGCAGAGCAGCATGGCCATCCTCAGCTCTCTACTTCTTTTGCAGGGGTTTTATTTCTGTGTACACCACTTCTGAGGCTGCAGGTATTGCCCCTGTCCTTTCAAAGATCAGCTTTGCATACGTCAGGTCCTCAGTCTGAGGCGCTGGGGGAGGCTGTAGAGGAAGACAGCAGTGAGCAGAGCCTTTGGCTCTCTATTCTGCAGTGCCCAGGGACTGGCATAAGTTATTTCCCACTGTCCAGGAGAGCCTGGCTTGTCACAGAGGTTTCTGAAGCCCCGAAGCCCTTTCAGTTAGCATTCACTTGCCAGTGCTTTTTGTTGGAGGGGAGGACATGGCACACGAAAAGCTTTTACTGCCTTACCGTGCTGAGCTGATTCATCTCTGCTGCATGCTTGCTTTCAGGAGATCCTAAAAAAACAAAAAACAAAAACAAAAAAACAAAAACAAAAACAACCCAAAAAACCCCAACATTGAGTGCTGTTATTTTTAATGCACCTGCATGGTCGGGGTTTCCCACAGCTTCTTTTACCCAAGGAGCCCATACAGAAGATGCTCCCCAGCTCCCACAGCCCCACAGCCCAGGCTCAGCCTTACCTTTAGCATCCTTTTGCTTTCTTCTGCACAGGCACACCAAAATACAAAGCAGGAGGAAAAGAGTCACAACCACTAACCCGGGGATGGCGTACAGGTAGATGATTGCTATGAGACCTGAGGAGCACAGGAACACGCGTAAGCTGCTGTCCCCACAGCAGGCTCCAGATTTGGCCTCCAGCTCCGTGCTGGAGCCGTGGTTGCTCACCTTCCTGAATCTGAGGCTCACGGGTCGGAGAAGTCTTGGGGTCAGAGCCTGGAAGCAGGGACACGTGTGAGCACCCAGGCAGAGTCAGTGGCACCCACTGGGGGAAGCAGTGTCACTTACTGGGAGCCATCCCTCGGGTGGCATTTTCAGTGCCTGTGAAGCTTCTGCTGGATACGGTGCACACAATGGGCTCTGCGCTGGCTGCATCCATGCTGCCATGGCTGTCACTGTGATGTGCCTTGCTGTGCTCCAAGCAGTTATCAGGAGGCTCTGGGCATGTCCACCACTTCACGTGCATGGTCTTATTCTCTGTCCAGAGCATGAACCAGCACAGCGGGTTCCCTGCAAGAAATAAAACAGCGAGTGGCTGTACCTTGCAGCAGATACATCCCACCAGCACGTGCTGCTTGCAAAACATGCATGTAATAACTGTGCCCTCCTCCAGCAGCTGCTGCTCCCGAGCCTCTGAGCTGCAGTCACATCCCAACCCACCGCACACAGCCCGCTCCCCATCCCTGGCTCACTCTTGCCACAAGTATCTTTGGCCTTGTGGTTCTTGCATGGGCGGTTCTTTTTTTCAGCAACGGGGCAGGAGGTCTTCATCTTGCACGTGTAATTTCCAGCATGCTTTTCATTCACGCTTGTAAAGGTGAAGTTGGAAGAAACATTTTCCTTGTGTAGAGCAGACCCTGTGTCTTTCTCTGCCTTCTTCTTCTTGCTTAAGGTGTCACACCACACCACCTCCCTGTCAGGGCTGTTTGGCAGACAGTGAAAAGTGAGATCTGACCCTAAGGACACGGAAGTCATTTGTCCTGCAGAAAAAAGAAGCAGGGAGGTTGGGTTCGTACTGTGAAATACCCACATCCTTCTTGTGAGGCCCTGAGGATGCCAGCCCCAGGCAGCAGGCTTACTTCTGCCCCAACCATCTGATGTTCCTGTGGCTGGGCACAGGATGTGGTGAAGGCACTGGTGCCTAAGGGGAGTTAAAAGCTTCTGGAGGAGCACAGGGTGGGCAGAAAAGCAGCTCTGTCCCAAACCTCCTGCAGGTGCATTATTGCTGCACAGATAGAAAAGCTCAAAGCCACAGCAACTTCCCCGCAGGCAGTCTTGGAGGGGCAGGTGCTGCAGCCCTGAGATCCTCTCACACTCCCAACAGAGCTGAGAACAGATGCACCCAGCTGCCTGCCCACAGGCCCCCCCGGCAGCAGCAGTCCTCCACTTCCCCCCTCCCAGGCAGGATGAGGGCACAGCACCTGCACTCACCAGCGGGCGGCCAAGCAAGGAGCAGCAGGGGCAGGATGCCCTTCACCACCAGGATGCTCATGGCTCCTTCTTTGGCCACTGCTCCAGAAGACCTCCAGCATCCAAATCACGTGCAGTGAAGAGGTGGAGGCTGCATCCTCCCAGCACCAGCGCAGGCAGTTCCTTTTTCACACCGAGGCTCACTCTCAGCTAGGGTTCCCAAAGTGAGCTTCTGCCCAGCTTTATCCCCTCGCTCTGCTGCTTGATTCCATCTATGGTCTTGTCTCAGGCACGTGCCCTGGGCTCTGACACAGACACACCACAGCCTGCCACGTGTGCTGCTGGTTCCACCCCACTGCTCCCAGTCCCCAGCACAGAGGGGTGAAATGCACACCCCATGGGCACAGGAGGAAGGACTTCCCCATTCCCCTCACCCCGGAGCCCTTTCCGAGCAGGGGACAGATCCAGCAGAGGAAGTGATTCTCCAGCTGACCATGGGCTGTGTTAACTTTTTGCCAGCAGACGTGGCCTTGGGAGAGCAGCGCTCGCTGTGCTCCCTCCTACCCTCCTCCCAAGTGCCATTTTCTCCCGTTTAGTTTCACAACAGCATCTTACATCAGGCAGTCTTGCCAGAACGACCTGTCCCTTCTCATCTTTCTTCTGTAAGTCTCTGAATATTGTCCCGACACCGTGTCCATCAAGCTGATGTGAACAACAAACTGTCCTGATGGGCACTGAGGTTTGGCCATGGGCAAGCAGTGAGCTCCGACTACCAAGAACCCTGCCTTACGAGCATTGCCAGCAGGCTGCCTTAGTGCCAGAGAGCTGACCCTAAAATGGAGCCCTGAGGAACCCCACCAGTGACTGGCCACCTGCCTGACAGAACCCCATGTGTGATAACCCTTCGGATCTGACCCATCAGCTTACCCTTCTCATTGCAAAATAACTGAGAGAGGTCCTGCAGTGACATCTTAGTACCCTGGGATGAATGCTGGCCTTCTGCTCACCTTCTTGACCTCCTGTTCCTGTACTCTCAGGAGGTGGTACTTAAAAAGTGACCGGGATGCTAAATAGTAAAGGCACAAAATGAGTTAAAACTGAGGAAGACTGCAAAAGGTTCTCTGCTTGTGTAACTGCATCAAAAACAAGAGGAAGGCAAAGAGAAGGCTTAGCCTCTTGCTTAACCAGGAGGAAGAACCACAAAGACGTGACCTGGAGGAAGTGGAAGCATTCAGAATGCTGCCTCCATCTCACACCTGAGCTTGGAGGGGTCCAACAGAGAAGGGGCACACAGGAGCAAGGCAGAGCCAAGAAAGACCCCAATAAAGAAGCATGCAAGACATGGAGTTACTTACCGTGAGAACGTGAGGAACTGGCTGAGATGACCTCTTGAAATCTCAAGGGCTTTGACAAAAGCAAGCAGGAAACACAGGGAACTGCCTTTGCAGATTGACTATTTTAAAATCCAGAACCAAGCCTCAGAATTACAGTTCTCAGAAAGATGCCATCGCACAGGATACATCACATGCACGAGTGCCTAAATGAACGTGGAGTGATAAACACAATGCCCTGCTCCCTGCATGCTGAGAAAGGGACCTCTCCATGGCTAAGAGTGGGAATGGCAATGGGAACGCGTATGGAGTGGAGCAGGGAATGGATCACAGTAGGGAAATCCAGCCAGAGCAAGGGGAAAAAATGAAAAGCAAAGCAAAACAAAAAGCAGGAGGAATGCTCCTGAGGTATGTGTGGTTGGTATGCAAAGAGGAGAGAAAACAGAAGAGAATTTGGGGAAGAAGAACAGAAAGAGAAAGATGGAGGGAAGCAGAGTGGTGAAATGATAAGAGGAGGCAGTAAAAGGGTCAGAAGAGGGAGAGGCTGGGGGAGGAAAATGGCTCCGGCCAAGGAAGCCATTGATTCATAGAATCAAACTCAGTTGGACTGGAAAAGACTTTCAGGATCGATGACTCCAGCCATCAGCCTGACTCACTGAGTCCCAGCACTGCACCACATCCCTCAGTGCATTGTCAACCTGTACCTTAAACACCTCCAGTGGAACTTCACCGCTGCCACGAGCAGCACGTTCCAATGCCTGACTGCACTCTGTGAAGGAAGCGTTTCTTAAAAACCTGTGCACCCAATGCCCTGGAAATGGGGCACAGAACGCTCAGATGCCCTCAAGTTCTGCACAAAGGGCAGCTACAGCAAAGCCATTTCCACGTCCCCAGGACAGCAGTGCCCACCAACAGCCCTAGTGATGCTGGCAGGAGCAGCTGACAGCACTGGGCTTTGCTGTGCACCAGGACCTGGAGCAGGAGAGCCAGAGCACAGCCACTGGAGGGAGGCAGCAGAGCAGAGAAGCCAGCAAAACTCCTCAGGCATGGCTGAGGAGACTGAAAACCTCGCAGCAACAGCAAGCCAGGCAGAAGAGAGACATCCATGCACCCACACCAGGGCCTCTCCCTGCAGATCCATATGCTTGCTGTAGCTCCATGTCCATATCTGCAATGATTGAAGACAGGCAGTGGATTCCCAGGTCTCGCTTCGTACAGCTTGGCAGCTGTCTTCTGTCCATCAGATCGATGGGGTTTTTAATCTGTGGGCAAAGCATCCCACCCACCTGCACAGAATCATAGAATCAAGGCTGGAAAAAAACCACTGAGATCATCCAGGCACCAAGGACCATCCAGGCACCAAGGACCATCCAGGCACCAAGGACCATCCCCACCATGCCCACTGCCCACGGCCCTCAGTGCAGCATCCACCTTCTTCTCAAAAACCTTCAGGCTTTCTAGGGAAGGGGACTAAAGGGATAAATACTCCTCAGAACCAGCTTGATGGCAGTGTAGTCCCACCCAGCAGATATCCACTGCCAAAGTCTGTCCCCATTTGAGGGCCTCTCAGACAGCAAAGACAAGCAGTGCTGTCTGAAGAGATTATACAGTCTTAACCATCATTAACTGAACTCTGCGGTATCTGAAAGTGTTTCCAGATTGTTTAAATTCCAGTCTTGGGAATCATGGTGAAACAAAAGCCTCTGCCACCTCCTCCCTCTCTTATCTTATTTGCCCCTGAAAGGAAAGCAGAGCTCACTTTAAGGTCTGCCTTTACCTGGGACTTTTCCCATTGAAAAACTCAGCTCCTGGCTGGGCAGGCAGGCTCCACCCCCATTGCTCCAGGAGACACAACGTTTCAGGGAGCCCATCTCTTACAATATTCTTGCCCATGAAAGGATTTATACCAACTTCCTCAGTCATATTTCTCCTGATCACAGCAAGATCTTATCTTCCACTGCCAGTGAGGCTGGAAAAAAGCAATCAAATCCTTCAAGTCATTGACATGGAAAGGCTTTTACCTATTTCTTTTGCTTGCAAGATGGGAGCACTCACAGATTTGCTGGACAGGTGGTTTATTGCAGGATTTGAAGCTCCCTGGGAGTCGTTCAGCAAGAACCAGAGACTTGGGAGGAGGGTGAGAAAGGGATGTTGGAGGTCACTCCACCAACCTGGCTCCCAGGTAAGCAGAGTACAGAGTGCACAGCAGCATCTGCCCCTTGATCCACACAGGCTCTGCCCGGCTCAAGAACTCCCTCATGCTCACGTCTCCCTGCCAGCTTTCTCCTCACTCAACCAGAAGTAAGGCTCTTTCTGAAACCTATTTCAAATAAAAAAAAAGTGAATCTCAACGTCTTGATTCTGTTAGGAAGAACGGGGACCATTCAATTTCAAGAATTTCAAGATGCACCCTGCAAGCCAATGTTGAAAGGGTTCCAGAACCCTGATGGCCCCGAGCTCAGGGGAGCGAGCAGAAACCAAGTCAGAGAAGAAACGTGCTTAAAACGCCACTAATAGCAGTTCTAACACAAATGCTTGACTGTTGGTCACATTTATTTTAAGAACAGCTCTTCATCCCAGATCCCTACATGAGTTTATTGTGCAACTGAGGAAGGACAGTGACAAGAATTCGCATCCTGAAGAGCAAGTTGTGTTTTCCTGCTCTCCTTCCCGAGGTGAGAAGCAAGCCTGGCCCAGAGCACCACAAGTTCCCTCATCCTGCACCTGTGAGGATGCTTCAATAGCAGTAAGAATGCAAATAAATAAAGAGTAGTCAGTATCAACCAGAAATTAAGTTATTGCTATGTTCTCACTTACTGGACACTGCAGGTAACTCACTTGATAACCACCAAGAGAGGTGGTGGTCTCAGATTGCCCTTGTGTTTTTGTTGGTCAGAGGCAGGGGAGGACAAGGTTAATTTTCTCCCTGCCTTAAGGGCAGCAGTTCTCTCAAGGGGAGCAAATCTTTGTTGCTGTGATGAAAACAGGAGCCCAGTGTCACCCTGAGAGCTGAGCCACAGCTGCTGATGCACAATGTAAACTAAGGGTAAGGAGCAACGTGGGCTTGGGGAAGTACTGGTGAGGCTCTTAGCATGGCACACAAGGTCAATCTGACACAGCTCCACTTCCCTCTGCTGGTGAGACGTGCTGGGACGGCCAGCATCTCAGTATCGAGTCAAGGCAGCTACAATAAGGCTTAACATTAAGGAGTCTAATACATACAAGACCACTGGCCACCACAGATTATCTCCTAGCCCAAAGTTGATTACGTGTGATGAGCTCACAGCAGTGTCAATCCCTACAGTCCCTCCCCACGAGGAGTATTGGCCAGAGAGCATGAGTTTGAGAGGATGAGGAGAGCTGTACAAAGAGCCTCTGTATCTCAGGCTGATGGCAAAGCAGGGAGGTCCTTTCCAGGACGCTCAGAGATGACTTTCTTAGGCATCGTGCAGCTGGTTCTCTTTCAGCAGGATCTTCTCTCCAGGCTTGAAGGCAGGCATCCCCAGGTAAGGGCAACTGGCACAGCGGAATGCATCCCCCAGGTAGCACTGCCAAGAGACAGGAAAACACTTGTCATCATGGCAACTCTCAGCTCTCTGCTCCCGTTACATGCTTTTTCCACCTAGAGAAACGACCTGCTCCTCAGCATATGCCAGCACAGAAACCACTTCCCTTCCACCTCCTCTGGGCACGTCTTGTTTAGCAGGTAACAGAGCTGGTGCAGGGCACTGCACTCACACACAGGAACCAAGTTTCCAGCCCAGCCCTACAGGAGGGCAGCTCTGCCTAGGCACAGCTGCGTGCTGGGCTTTAGCAGCTCCCTAACTGTACTCCCATAAGGTGATCTTCCCTAAGGAGACCACTGGTGAGCAAGTGAAGCACAGGGTCACTGTCTACTCTGCCTCCTGTGAAGGTGGCACTCGCACTGTAGGCACACAACAAACTGGTGCAGAGCACAGGAGCCGTTCTAAGAGGTGAGATGGTAAAGGCAGAAGCTGTGCAGAAGCAGGCAGTGTTTTAAAAGCAGTAAGCAGCTGCTTTAGTGAGCAGTCATCAGAGAAAACTGTTCTCAGACACAGACTGCACCCTGCAAACCACAATATACAAACAAAATGACTATTTACATTTCCACAGGCAGATTTGGGCTGCGAGCTCTTCTTCTCCTGTTCCAGCTCTTCAGCCAGGCCACACGTGCTGTAGAAAAGAAAGAAGTCACTCGCATCGTTCCGATTTAAAAGCCATGAGTTACAATCCTTGTTCCAAAACTGCTCTCATGCAACAGCCCTCACTTTGCCACACAACACAGCTGGCTCTGGGACTCTCATGCTCTGTACTTTGTTCTCCAATACCAATTTGCAAAACAAGTGTTGAAGCACACTCCTCCAGCTGAAGCAAGAAGGAAATGACTCTAAAGCAGTTAAACCACATAAACTGCTCCTCCTTAAAATCAGTGGGAATAGGATTTTAGTGAAGGCTGCACAAACTGTGTAGCTACCTCCAAGAAGACTGCTGGTCACACCAGTATGGCAGTTTGTAGCAGTTCTGGCACAGCTAGCCAATGCTCACTGTGTTTGGATTTACCTTCAGATAGCCAAGATAAGGAAAACATGAACCAAGTGAATTATGCTTTCCCACAATCTTTTTTAAAAACATCCAACTCTAAGGTTCCATTGCTGTGAGTTAGGAGGCACACTGACATGCTAATCCCAACACTGACCAGTTCTTGCAGGCTTTCTTTTTGCCCTTTTCTTTGCAGGACGGAGCTCTGAGAGAGGCTGGATCTGGCTTTTTCAAATCCTCTGAATCCAACAGCTCATCAGAGTCCAAAAGATCCTGGAATATACCATGGAAGAACACACACAACAAATTGACTTGTCAGTAGGGAATGACATTGCTGTTACATTCACAGAAACACCACTTGCTGTAGCACTAGCACTGCAAACATTCCCTCTCAACAATGCCTTTCCCTCAATTCTCACCACACTTGTGGGCACCCAACACCTCAAACAGCAGCTGAGAAATTTTGCACTGGGGATGCTTTTGTACCTCTTAAGTTGTAAAGCTTCCCAAGAGGAATGACTAAAATTAGCTAGAATAGAAAAGAAGAGAGAAGGAATGACAGCAAGGTCTCACAAAAAAAAATGGATACCATCTCTTCGTCATTCATATCACTGGCAGACAGCGTCCACAGCTTAGCAGTAGCTGGGTCCACAGAGGGCTTTCCTGGATCCAAAACAAAACAAGAAGCAGTAAGTACCCCAGCCACTGCCCCATCTATTTCCAGCAATGAGAGAGTTCAGACAACTTTGGAAAGCCCCACTCCACAGACATTTAGGTAGCACTCCCTACCACAGGGATGCTGGTCACTTCAGAGAAGGGCAATTCCCACGTTCAGCTCACATCACGCCTTACCTGAAGGACTTGTTTTCTTGGCAAAGGATAGTTTGAGTTGACTTGAAGATCCCACTTCAAAATTGGGTTTCCTGCCTTCTATCTGAACAATGAGAAGGTCATTGCCTTGGTAGCCCAAATGCTCTCGGACTGACTGGGCCTCCTCTGCGGTCAGAGGTTCCTTCCGCAGCTGCAATGCAAGATCTTTGGTTACTCTCACACTGAGCCCCCTTATTTCAGTGCCCCATCCACTACTCCTGTGAACACAGATAATCAGTTGTGTCTGGCTCCAGTTGCTTATCCCTCAGAACAGAAGAGAACAGAAGAGTCAGTCCCAGCTGCAGTGCAACACAAAGGGCTGATCAGCATGGAGTGAACCAGCAGACATAACAGAAGACAGGTTCCCTCCTGTCTTCAACCCTAAAGAATAACACCACCTTTGTAGGAAGAAAAGGCCAGGGCAGACAGCATCCATGAACATCCATGGTGAACCAGGGCAGCTAAACACCTTGCTACCCATCAAGTCCTCGTCTACTTTTAGGTAACAGCAGAACTATTGCTTTTATTCTGAAAGCAATCAGTACAAACATACCTCCTTCACTTCCACCAGCCCAGAGAGAGTCAGAGCTGCAGGGAGTTTGGCTGCTGTCTTGATCCCGCTGTTGTTACCTGGAAGACACAAAAGCAGGAAATAGCAAGAAGAACAAGAACAGTGGTCGCTGAAAACCAGATGTGGTGCTTGGAACCTGCAAGAGCAAGAGACCCTTACAAAGTACTCAAACCATAGCTCTAAATCGGGCCCTCTCCAGTAAAAGCAGGAACAGAACAGAGCAGCTTGTTCATTGGAAAAGTGGCTTGAGAACATAAAGGTGGTTCTAGCTCCAGATCTGTTCTACATCCGCCAAAACCTTCCTCAACTCAATTAACATCAATATTAAAAGAAAAACAAACAAACAAACCACACACCAAAACCACAAAACAACAAAATCCCCCAAACACTTTCACATATTGCAATGAACAACTCGTGAATTTTTCAAAGCATAAACTGATAATGATTGCTATATTTAAAACCATAATACTCCAGAGCCTTGCTCTAGTAGGCAATTACTCTCTGTTACTCTATTACTCACTGTTTAACCCAAAATTCATCATGGGCTTCTTCTCTTAGACACCTCTTAATAGTCCCAATTGCACTTTACTGCAAATCCACCAAAATCCCAGCCTGACAGATGTGTTTTCTGGAACAAGACACTCCACCTACTGCAGACTTTACATGTCTTAAACAAGATAAACCCTTTACTTTATTCACGTTAGCACTTCAGGATAACGAAAATCTGTCAGCCAGTGCTCCTGCTGCCTTTCATTTCAGCCTAATTCTTGCAGGAATTCCTTTGCTACCACGAAAGCAAGGCTGATGCAGATTCTCTTACCTGATTCTGTCAGCACGGGTTCTTTCAGGAGGACACGACCCCCAGGCTTCAGTATTCGAGCTATTTCTGCCAGTACCTCTGCACTGTGCTGCGCTGTGCTGCCTGGTACCACACCAGAGAGAATCACATCGAAACTGGACTCCCTGTGAGCCGCTGCAGAGGGAGAGATGAAGACAGTACAATTTTATGCACATACACACTCATAAATATTTGCTTAATGATCAGTTCTGCCTCTTCCCTCATCTCTCGTACCTATGTACAACAGCAGTAACTGGATCACAGAATCATTAAGGTTGGAAAGGGCTCTAAGATGAACTAGTCCAGCTGTCTGCCTACCACCAATACTGCCCACTAACCACGTCCTTAGGTATTACACATCCACATTTCTTGAACACCTCCAGGGATGGTGACTCAGCCACCGCCGTGGGAACCCATGTCAGTGAATCACTGCTCTGAGAAGACGCTTTTTTACTTATAACCAACCTGAACCTCCCCTCAACAACTCCAAGAAATTACTTTCCACCCTATCGCTGTCACCTGGGAGAAAGGCTGGCTCCTCCCCACATCCTCCTGTCAGGACTGCAGATCCATGAGCTCCTCTTCTCCAAACGACCACCCCATTCCCTCAGCCACTCCCACAGCTGTGCTCAGACCCCCTGCAGCTCCGCTCTGTTCTCTGGACAGACTGAGGTGCCCCAAACTGAGCAGCAGTGCTGGCTGAAACACCAGCAGGGAACACACCAGTATTGCTGCACTGCTCTATTGCTGCGCTGCTCTATTGCTGCGCTGCTCTACTGCTGCGCTGCTCTACTGCCAGCTATTAACCACGGCTGCTGCCTGACTTACAAACCAGAGAACACACGAGCTCAGAAAGCAGAACTCCCTTCTCCTTTTAAGGCAGACAGCGAAAAACTGAGGTGGTTCTTACACTGAGACAGCTGGTTAACGTTCTCCACGGCCACACGACCGTCAGCTCCCACCGAGGCCCGGACGGAATCCACCAAGCCCTTCAGCGCTCCCACCGGCGAGGATCCGTCCCATATGACGGCCACGCGCTGCCCTGCGGCGACGCCGAACTCCTCCATCTCCACCTGGCAGAGGAACGAGGCGGGGCGGCAAGAGCCAACCCAGCACCGAAGCGAAGCTCCCGTTCGCCGCCGTCCCGCTCACCTCTACACGCTCGCCCGGCGCCCCCGTCCCGCTCTGACGTCATCACGCACCGCCCCTTGCGTCACCGCCGCTGCCCGCTTCCAAGATGGCGGCGGCGGCGGCAAGCGGCCTGCGGCGTGCGGGTTGGCGGCTGTGGCGGGGCCGCGCGGGTGAGGGAGCGCGCGGAGCGCGACGGGTGAAGGGGGCGCGTGCCCGCGTGGGGCCGCGAGCGTGGCCGTGCGTGGGGCGGGGCCGGGGCGGGGCAAGGTGAGGTGAAGGGCAGCGGAGCGGTGCCGCGAGGGGGCGCTGTGGAGCTGCGGGG